TCGGTCTGTTCCATTTTTTTTCGAAGGGGTGTTCCGTTTTGGGAACAATGGCAATTAGTCGGTTATCCAGGTAAGTATCTCACTCATAGACTACCAACATCACGATTGATTTGTGTAATATGATGCATGAATAATTATAAGAAATCATGTTAAATTTGCACAGAAAATAATTTATAACTTTATAATTCGCCAGGGATCAGAAGCTGCAGAAGTTATGTATGGTGATGGGAATTGAGAATGTCAGTAATCCGGATGAGACATATGAGTTGACTACTGATAATGTTAAGAAGATCTTGGCAATCCACATGCGATTTAGGTAATGTTGGTAACTTTTTGTCTTATATTAATTTTCTATATATTTTATAAATAAAAATGAAACTCGGGAACAAGGTATAAATTTGCAAAATTTGCTTAATAAGATGTCACAAACGTTTTCGGCCATAGGCCTTCATCAGATGAGGGGTCATGGTAGAAACGTCCTTGTCTCTGCTAATTCTACCACTACCTCCATACACAAGATCAAGTCAACATCTTGTATAATCATTTTCATCATGCCATCTGATGGACTTGGCAGAGTACAGTGATTGCGCAAGAAACTGTGTCCAGTTCCAGCTGAAACAAAGTACAGTATCTAGCAACTGTGTGGATGTGATAAAAAAATCTTATTTATCATCAAGTAGACACATCACCTCTCCTACTTGCTAATGCCTGAGTCAAAATATTTCATAGGAGGCTTGTTAGGGGAAAAAAAATTTAATCAGAGTAGCACACATCACTTGCTTCATATGTCACCTTTTTTGTTATTTTCATAGGTGTGGCATCCCTGTGATTGTGATGGGTGAAACAGGCTGTGGCAAGACACGTCTCATTCGTTTCATGTGTCAGTTGCATTCTAATGGACTGGTGGTAGATCAACCTGTGAACAACATGATTCTTATGAAGGTTAGAATGTTGTTCAGTATAGTAGTAATAATTCAGAACTGAAACTGAATTTTCTTTTTGGTCACTGATATGGTTTTGGCATGGCAAGCCCCAATTGCATGCCAACTTCACAAAAGTTTGTTGTATGAAGAAAAATACTTGAGTATTAAAAAAGTAATTGTAATTTTGAGATATGATTTACCTTCATAAGATAGTATGAAACAAACTCTGAAAAAGTGAAATATGCCATTGTGATTCAATTTCTCGAACTTTTTGTTATAACTTCACATGATTAATAGATACGGCAAAATCTGTCAAGAGTCTGTGGGAACCCAGGAAGTGTCCTATGCTATCTCCTAGGCCACAGGTGGGCAAAGTGTGGCCCGCGGGCCGCATGTTTTTTGCGCCCCCCCCCAAAAATGAATTACAAACCCTACATCTTTGGCTAGAAAACACTTTGTTTTTTGCTGCCCGGCACCAATCATTTGTAAAAAGTAAGCGTAAAACTGAGCATAAAAGTCGCCATAAAACAGTTTTTGCAGCCCGACACCGATCATTTGTAAAAAGTAATAGTAAAACTTAGCATGAATGAAGGTTTTTGGAAGTTCACTAAAACATCAAAGTTTGGGTGCAGCCCATGGAGTTGAACTAAAAATTCACTTTGGCCTTCCGACCAATTTTAATGCCCACCCCTGTTTTAGGCCATGTCTATGTGCCAGGGAGTCTTCCAGGCCGCTTAAACAAAACTGGCAATGCCAGCCATCCATGTAAACACTGATTGTTGGGCCCACCAATCGTTGGATGTCGTAAATTAAACTATTTGATAAAATTGCATATTTTGTAAGGCGAGTAATGATACATCGGTCAGTGTTTAATATAGTCATTAATATAAGCATTTCAATAAGATTACCTAACTTTCTTGAGGCATTGGCTTTACATTTCTTCGCCAGCTTTTCCTAAATTTATCCAAATCTTACCCAATTTATCTTCAACGCATGTTTTATTTACTTTATAAGGTCCATGGAGGTACCTCTTCTGAGTATATTGTTGGCCGTGTACTCAAAGCTGTAGAACTTGCACAGGAAAACAAAACAAAGTATAAAATTGATACAGTTTTGTTTTTTGATGAAGCAAACACAACGGAGGCAATTGGAATTATCAAGGAAATTATGTGTGATGGACGCATGAACGGTCGGCAGATTGACTTCAATGGAAGTGGTCTAAAGATAGTTGCAGCCTGCAACCCTTATAAAAGGTAAGGTAGCTAAATTAAACTGTCTGTTGACTACATAATGTAAAGGAAAGTCGTTTTGCTATCCAAATTAATATGGATTTTATTGGGAATAATTTGCCTAAACATTTTCAGAACACACTATGTTTAATATTTGATCTTGTATGTCAGGGGTGGTTCAGGGGTTAGGGGTGCAACTGTGCCTTCCCCATTCCCCTCCCCCCTAAAATAGAAAGAAAGCACGGTACTCTCAAACAAGCTAATTTTCAATTAAAACTCCTTGTATAGAAGATATTTTTAAATATCATCGGCTTGTTCTTGGTTTCAAAGTTCATAATTTGTGTCCCCCTACATTAACAGAGTTTGTTCATAGGGGTGAGCGTTGTGAGGGCAGGCTTATACACTTGAAAGCCAAAAGCAATATATTTCTTAACTCTGCTTTTGTGTCCTTTCCAAGACTGTGAAAAACTACCTCCTGTACTTCAAAACTCTGTTAATGTTTCCTCTTTTTAGAGTAATTTAATTAAGCATTTTATATCTTTTTATGTTTGTGATTAATTCTGATTGTTTTTTGTTTTAATTTGTGTATTTTATAATACTGTATGAAGGATAGGGAGCAAATCTTGTTCGGCCTTTCGCCAATATCCAGGCAATGTATGTTATTTTAATTCTGTATATTTTTTGCCAAATAAATATTATTATTATTATGTACTCATATCTTTGGTCAAGCATTTCTAAACAAAAATCTTGAACACCACTCCTGCCCCCCCCCCCTTTTGGTGCTTCACACGTTTATTGGCCTCTACCCAGGTTTTTTTTTAAGATCTACCCCTGTATCTTGCTTATTTCCACTTGATATTGGTATAGTATTTCATTTCTATTATTTCACTTCCATATACAATATTTGTAATTCATATTAGAATGTAACATTACATAGGCTTATTTCGTTTATGGCCCTGAAAAAAAAACCAGTTAGGGTATGATTTCTCAAAAATAATATGAGAGCATCACCAAAAGCTCAACAATCAAAACAGGTTAAAAAAAATCCTGCAAGTCTGAAATGGGTATTAGTATATGAGCGTGTTCATTGCATTTACAATAAAATAATAGAGATCAAAGGATGTTGTCCAACAGATAGAGATGAATGTTGGCTCATATGCTGTAAAATAACTCTCTGTTCTATAGTTAATGAATAAAAGAAATGTATGTATTTTATTTAACTTATTAGACATACAAAGGAAATGATCAAACGACTAGAAGAAGCAGGTCTCGGTTACCACATCAAAGCCAGTCAAACAACAGACAGACTAGGTAAGTTTTTATGTAGTAATTCTTAAACTTAAAACGCTTAAAAGTAACTGGTAGTGATCATTTTATTTATTTTAATGATTGTTATTGTCGATACATCCAGGTTGTATTCCATTACGTCAACTGGTGTACCGGGTCCAGGCTTTGCCCCCAAGTATGCTACCTCTTGTATGGGACTTTGGACAACTGAACAGCACAGTGGAGATTATGTACATTCGTCAAATCGTTCAACGTTATTTTGTGAGTACTGTGTTTTTTTTTTACTTCCTTTCTGATATTTGTTTTTTTTTGGTAATTTTGTCAGTACTTGTAAACATACTAGACAAGGCTATAAATGAGATAGGTGCCACTTGGAGAGGTAGAAATTCTCGTATGGTTTTTCTAGACCAGTTTTTTATGGGGAATAAGAATATGTGAGGTAAAAGAGGCGTAACCTGAGAACTTTTGCGTGAGGGCGCTTTTTTCAAAATGGCCGCCAAAATCCAATAAACTACATATATATGGGTAAAATAACCACAGAAGAGGTAGGTTTGACCAACTTTTGAATATGTAATGATAGGAGTAAAGTATAACTATCTAAAGTTATTAATGTGAAGATTTCGGGAGGCAATTGAGGGTGCTTTTTAAAATGGCCGCCAAAATTAAAGAACAATTTAACAGCAGCTTAAATACCCTAAATGAATTTGTTTAATTTACAAAACATAATGAAATAACTGCTGACTTTTTAAACCCAAAATAACATATTTTAGGGTAGTAAGATAACTCATTTTTGGAAATGTAAGTAAAAATGCCCCCTTATATTAGCCCTTTTCTGTTTTGAAAAATGGAAAATATCACCAGAATCCTAAAAAACAATCCAGCTTCCTTACGGTTGTTTTTCATTATTTTTGTGTACTACACAAGGTATTCCAGAGGACCACACAAGTAACTACCATAATATTCATGTATAAAGGCATTAATTCATTTATTACATAATTGTTCTTTACTGTGTAACCCTATGTTGAGCAATAATCTTAATGTATTGCTAATATCACTGCAATCTGAAAGTCCTCGTCTTTATTATAAACAGTTCTTGGACGTCCATGTGCATCACTGTCTCAATCATTTTTTGCTTCATTTGATCATTCCATCTGTTGTGAATACTATTTTTACTGACCAAATCATTTACGTCTGCTTAATTTCCATTCTTTAGCGATTAAATTTGCTCAAGGGTCTGCTTGCAAACATGGTGGTAGCAATGATATGTCTGTGATCTTGTTGCCTCTATTGAAAATTTCACATCTTGCTTGATTTACACTTTTCCCCTTAACTCCTTGCGCAGTCTTCAAGTTACTCAGATATCTTTTGTGACAGAACATCTAAAACTTTAAAGTTATCAGAAAGTGTCAACAAAACTTTGCCTTTGACTACAGAAGCACGAGATCCAATAAGGGATGATTCCTTCGCTGGTGAAAGTTAATGCCACTTAATTTGAACAACTTTCGGTATTTGCCAGTGTTTGTGTCTAGAATGACCCTCTCTCCGTTGTCATAAAATAAGATATGCAGTAGCAACGACTGCAGTATCGATGTCTCCAGAATGAAACGGTTGATATTTATGTATTGGTTGTAATTCCTTAAAGCATGCATTGCATGCAGAACAACTTTCAAGTCTGATTTTCCTGGCTGCTATGAAGATCTGGAACTAATACAAAATCTCTTTCATTGACAAGGATGCATTCTCGCCGATAGCAATAGTATTCAAGAAGGTATCCAACCAGTTTGTCGAAATCCAGTTTGCCGAATCCAGTTGTTTACTGAAATCATGAAATCCCAGTTTGCAGAAACTCAGTTTGCCGAAACCCAGAATGCCCAATCCAGTTCACTGAAATGAAATCCCAGTTTCCCAAAACTCAGTTTTCCGAAACCCAGTCCAAATCTCTGTGTTACAAAAGTACAGCATACTGTACATTTGAAAGGAAGGAGCTTCATTTGTGTACAAATTAAAAGGAAAAATATTGGAAGACAAAAAAG